AAAAAAAAAAAAACTTTAAAAACAAAGTAAAAAGGAAGGTACTGATCTCACCTCCATTTGAACATTAAACACACCCCGCTTTTCCTCAATTTTTTCTTTGATAACAGCCATAGCTTGATTGAGGACAGACAGGCCTTCTGTTCTCTCCAGGGTTGTTGTAGTCATCACATACCGAGGAGGAGCTATTAGATTAATCTAAAGAAGAAGGACAAAAATTCAATTATGAGTATACCTACAGAACCCCCAGTTCTGTAGGTCAATAATTTGGGGCTGTGTGTAGATGTAGCAAAAGCTAATTGATAAGAGTGATCTAATCCAGCAGTATAAACACTCCACTGCAATATGAAGAATTCTAGGTGCCTGTGGTAACTAAACTAACTACAGTCATCATCAGTATAATGGATAACTTGTCTCTAAACTAAACTGATGAAAGAAATCCTTCTAAGAGATTCTGAATAACAGCCATCCAGTTAATTTTGTCACTAATGAAAGATTCAGATCAAATCTCATAAAACTTGTATGTGTGTAGAGAGTATGTTACCTTTTTTCAAGGTGTTATGAGCATTTTGGGCACAGAAACTCTTTACTGCAAAGGAAGTTTAGCATTGCTGGCTCTCTTGCAATAGGAATTCCCATCTACTGTGACATTAGCAATAGCAACAACAAAAAGCCTACATATAATCAGAAACATTTCCTAGAAATATCACCATAACACTGCTCAATTTTAAGATCAAAAAACACTTTTGTTATGAAACATGATTAAAAAAAAAATCAAAACAACTGATTTGGTTTAGCTGGATATTTCCACAGGGAGGGAGAAAACTGTCGACTCACCTTAATGGGCATGGTTTCTGTAGAACAATTCAAACCTGCTCTCAGGGCTTCTTTTACGGCATCAATGCCTTCATAACTATAACAAGCCACTTCAATATCTAAAATTATAAAAATTCGAAAGCCAATACCAAAAAATGTAAACAATATTTAAATATTTAAAAGAAATCAGAGATGTTGCAGGCACATTAATATCCAAATACTTATGAAAGCTTTCATTACCCTGTCAGTTAGAAATCAATTCCAGCTATTGATTTTAAAATTAAAAGTATCTGAACATGCAGTAAAATTGAATTTTCTCATCTACATCAAGCCACCTAATAAAAGACAGAGAAATTTAACAAATACCTTAAATTCTAGTTATGTCTGGGTTAAAATCCTGATTCCAACCTCTCTGTACTGCAGTTCCTTGTTTGTAAAATGGAGGTAAGAAAGAGTGTGGTAAAGGGTGAATGAGGCAACAACCTCAACTTGTCTAGAACAGTTTAGAAATTGCATACCATTTGACCCAGCAGTTCTACTTCTAGGAATCTGTCTTGAGAAACACTTGTATAATGTGTAAGTATATATGTGTAAGGATACTAATTTGTACTGTTTTTCTGTAATTGTGAAAAAATTGGCACAACCTAAATGTTTATCAAGTGGGGACTAGTTTATGCTAAGGTTTATCTGTTCTATGAAATAGTACCCAGCCATGAAAAACAATGAGAGAGATTCCTATGTTCTGCACAGAAGTGTACCCATGACAACACTA